CACTACGGACTATCGTCGGTGTAGGTCGCTACGTCTGGAATGACGTCATCGCGGACAACCTGAAGATGGAAAGCATCCAGGAATTCATGGCCCGGCTGGCGCGCGGCATGTTCGATCGCGCTGACAACGGGCCACACGAACACTTCACTTCAACAACTTCGCACCTCTATATCTTTCCTCGATGCGTTAACAAAATGAAGACGCATAAATATTTACGATGGAAAGCCTAGTTACCAGAAAAAGAGGTCTCGTCACTAAGCTTTTTACGAAATACAGCAGCATTATGCTGCTATTTTACGCTGTTATTTTGTGAGAGCATGGTCCTTTCCTGGTTTAGCCAACCCACTTATGCTACAATCGTATTTTAGCTGCAGTGTGGCTCTACCACGTCTAAAGCCGACCTATTTGTGTTGCAGTCACAACTGAAAGTAACACTACTAGTTAATTGAATTTTAGGTAGATATTTTATAACGTTTTGAAACAAAAAGCAATAAAAGTACAAATGTAATAAAATTCTGAATATGTATTCGATTTCAGAATTTGATTTTAAAATGTGTGACGATTTAGCTATTTGTACGTGCGATGGATTTGTTTTGGAAGAATTTCGTTATATATATTCTAGGCGCTTCAGTAAATGCTGTTGTAAGTCGTATTATTTCTGACGATATAGAAACTTCTTGAAATTTAAGTGATAGTGCAAGCAATCTACAAATGTTTGTTGTTAGACTCGGTTGACAAAATCTCGTAGTTTCATAAGTCACAATAGTATTCAATACATGCAGGTAGAACTTGACACCCATTTTCCAAGAGGAGAGGTGCAATTAGTATCTAAAGTAGTAGTAAAAATTAGTCATTAGGTAATGCGACTTTAAAGTGATGTTTGGTTTAGCGTGGGTAATAATTCCAGTCCACCCAACATCGCTAGTGACAGTGGGGGTTCTCGCGTTTGTGTAGAGAAGAAAAGTGCTTTAGAACTACGAAGTTCATAGCATTTTAATTTTGCACGCTGATCTTTGCTAGTTAATTTTCTATTCTTTGATAAATTGAATTTCCGTAAAACTGTAGCTATTTTTTAAATAGAAATACTTCTCGGCTTACAGCAAATTCCTTATTGATTTCTTATTTTAAAAGTTACTGTTACGGGTCTCATATTTGAAATTCAGCCCTTTTTAATAGGGTGTTGGGCATGTACTTTCGTTCGTAAGTTAGTTAACTTTTTCTTCTTGCATATTATTATATTATGTATCTTTACTGTACCCTTTGTTGCATATCCCGAGAGTAAAAGATGATATAATATATATTAATTATAATTCATCGAAATTAATTATGTACTTTAAAAAAAATCTGATTGGGAAATAAAAAGTTGATAGATATGGCACACAGAATCGCACAAAATAAAGATTAAAAAATAAGCGTCACTTTTAGGTGTCTTCAAAAAACAATAAAGGCGGATTTAATATTTTTTTGGGTACTCAGATTCTGCCATCAACTTCACAGATTAAGCAGAGATGTCAATCTCACTGTGAGTTATCTGTGCTGCGTTCGATGGATGAATGATGATGTATTTTATTTACGAGCAAAAGTTTAAGTTTGAAATGCAATGAAATATTTTTACGTTGTATAGTAAGGATTTTTTAAATGAAACGTTATATTTTATTTCTCTCCACAAACACTTTATTATTAAATTACATTAATTTTCAGATGTCTGATTTACTGGAAACAGAACGAACTACGTTTTTCGGCCTTACACATGAGGTGCCTTTAAGTGTTTCTACTTTGGAATTAGTAGAACCACTTCACACGGCCGTATGGCAGCACGCGCAAGGAGATCGCAAAGTACGGCGTTACTTCGAATCATATAATACACCATTTGTTGGACAGGAAAGGCGGAAAATGTCTCGAAATACCTAATTTAACAGCAAAGTTCCAAATTATTTTATAAAATCCCAACAGTATAATATTAATCTTTGAACGAAAAGAAATTGGTATCACAAAAAATTGAGCAAAGTGGCCAGTAAGATTTATGGAAATTTTCAATTTTCTCGGCGGTGAATTATTAATTTTCCATTTGTTTCCTCTGATATTAACTTTTCTTTAATTTGATTGCGGCGAAAATTGTATCTACATTTCATAAGCATTTTGTTATAAATTATTTTAAATGTCGAGTTTAATTAAATTTTAGTAAAAATATATGATTCTAAACAACAATTTTTAGTTTAGTATTTTTATGTGGGTCATGCCAAAAGAAACTATAGGACTCAATAATTATCTACCATAATTATTCATTACTAGCTTTTTACCCGCGGCTTCGCTCACGTGAGCTTGAATTTAGGAATTAAATGCTGTTCCATGCCAAATTAAGCAAACATTATACTTAGAGTTACAACGCTGTCTGGGTCTATATCTGTCAAAGATGTTTTTTTGAATTCTAAAAGACTATTAGTGTTACGGCCCGCAGCTGCCCCTGCAAAGGTCGAATATCCCGGGGCCCATGAGCGGAAGATTCAACGGGCAGCCGCGGGTTCGAGCCCAAATGGCCATATGGAAAAATGTCCTATCATACTAAACTGTAGGGAGAAGGCTAGAAAAATATAGTACGTACCTGTATCCGAATCTCAGACCGCCCCAAGGCTCGGTCAGACCGTAGGTGGGTGTAAGGTGCATGGAAAGTAGTGTTTAGTGATGTGTATGTGTCTGAGACTTGGCCCAGCTGAGGTGACCGGCCGCGGCCGATTTCCATAGCTGCCCCACAATGCTGTATCTCTCCAGCAGGCTTCCCCGCTGGACCTTTTCTTTCTTCATGTCACTATTTCAGTCTATTAACTTCATTGTACATTTAACTAACTTAAACTCGCTTAATTCCACATTCATTGTAGAATCGAACACGTGATACCCGACACAGTAACGGACAGTAGTTCAAAGTTCAACATTCAATGTCCCGGATTCACTTATCACCAAATTATAAATAGGGAACTAACGCGATCTCTTCATGACTCACACGGTTTGGCGTTAAACCCAACTAAGTTCCTTCGTTCGATACTAAAAACTACGCCGCGATAAGAATTCAAAATCCGCCTCGTTGACACGTAAAACGAACAAAACAGTCAACACATAAAAAAGGGCACTTAACGCGACGGCACAATTACTTTCAAAGAAGTTATTTTAATCAGTCAAACACAATACAAGCCTCTTGTCAAGAACTTAAACCCTAGACAACCTGAAACGAGGCGGTTTTCACGAAACATAATTACGTAGCGAAGTCACGCGCACAAAATCCAAAATTCTAGACCCTAATCTAGTCCCAATTCTAGACCCAAAAAAAAACCGGTCACGCGAAACCTCAGCGGCGGGCATCGAAAGACATTAATTAACTTCCCAGCCGCCGTCGAGTTACTTACTACCTTTCGCACTCGCGTTCTGCGCCCACGCCCTCTGCCGAGCGACGCACACGGGAGTGGGGTAAGGGTGACCTTTACAAAGTCAGCGGGCGGACACGAGTGGAATGGAAATTTCAAATGTTAATTGTTTGGCCTAAACAATTAGACTTAGATGATTGGTATTTGGCATGGATATAATATGCTACAGGAACACGTGCATATTTAGAAACACCTACTATTTTTTATATTGGGCGTTTCTTCCGATGTATTATGGATTCATCCAAAGACACGCCCGATATAGGATAGAAAGATAAATTGTCTTGGAATCAAAATTTATTATTATTATTGACATTTTACTTCATAATTAAAGTTAATTTAGTTTTAACAAAATAATGATGAATGTCATGGTCTTCTATTAATATTAATATACGGTATAATGTTTATTTGAGATATTTTATTCATATCATTGGTCCTATTGAATATTGATTGGCACCATAAAATAGATGTAGATATTTTTTTTACATTCGAGTAGACTTCAAAATTTCTGAAACGTAGTTCTATAATGTATACTACAAATGGAATAAAACTAATGTCACGGATTTTATTACGTTTAATTTAGACTTTTTTTAAGTGGGGTTTTTTAACGCATCTTTGGATGAAAGTTCCATAAAACCCGCGTAAAAGAAGATAACTTTGATGTGAAGCACTGACGCTACGGGAAGTCTAAAGTATGTCAACATGTTTAGTATCGTCCCAACCATTATACTGGATCTGATAGACAACAAATATTTGCAAAAGAACACCGCTACATAAACATCCTAATTTTAATAGGGAAGATGGCTGAGTGCTACCATCTGCTAACATAGGAAAACGACGACATAGGTAAAACAAACAGGAGATGGGCAGCATTATCTTCCTGATAGCAGATCAAAATAGCTTTTTATTTATATTTGTTTGATAAGCAAAAGTAAGTAGCCAAAACACAGAATAGATAATAGTACCCAAAAGTTCAAAACGTTCATCGGGCTTTAAATGATTAAAAATATTTTCTGAATAAAAATACTTAAATTGATGTGTTTCATTTTCAAATTTATTTAATAATAAGCTGTTATCTATAATGATATATTATACCTTACCAGAGTCAACTGAGTAGAGTATCAAACTTCTTTTGGCATGCCCAATGTATTTAAGTTTTGTTTGTATTATGAATTGTTTCCTTCAACCCTTATTAAATTACCTATTATGTATTTTTTTATTTGCAAGTTGTACCATTTTTTGTTCAAATTATCCGTAGTATTAACAAATATTTGCGGCTTTTATTCCGGCAGGTAGGTACCCTGTTTGACGTTAACCACCTTTCTACTAAGAAAACATCGTTGGATATTTCACCAAAATATGAGTATGTCGAATTATAAACAACAAGAAATATTATTACTGGTTCATCTATACCAGTGATGCACAGACTTATTAAGACTAGGGGCCACTCGGGCAAATTATGAACTGATAGCGGGCCGCCAGAAGTATAGGTAATTAAAGACAATAAATAATTGATAATAATGAATTAAAATTGAAAAAGAATTTATTAATTTGAAGCGTGGCATTGCATAGTGCTTACAATCTTTTTTATATTTGGCTCAAATTTACTTGTAGCAACACGTAAAACTGCTTCCAAACTTTCATTTGCAAGGCGGTTTCGATTTTTTGAAAAGGTTTTTTTTGTATTGAAAAGGTTTGTTCACATATATAGGTAGCACCAAATAAGCTGGCACATTTCAGAGCGTTTATGCGGAACTCTTTGTACGTATTTTTATCAATGCAGCGGTAAAAGTTCAGCAAGTCTCCTTCGTTGAATTTGTTGCGTAAATCTTGGTCGTTTTGAGTGTCTATAATTTCTAACTGCATTGACTCTGGCGCATTTTCAACTGAAATCGTGAAAGGATTGCTGAATATGTCCAACAGAGGTTTCACTTTTTTAAACTCCGAAAATCTGTCTTGAAAAGATTCAATCAAAATATCTAGCTTTTCTACATTAATGAAATTAGTCGCAGTTTTGTTGAATTTTTCAGCCATTTTCTTATAATTCGGAAAATGATTGTAATTTCCAGAATTCAATTGCGATCTGAAAAGTGTCAGCTTGCATTGAAATGATGATACATGAGCGTAGAGCTGGGATATCAGTTTATTTTTGCCTTGAAGCCGTGTGTTTAAGACATTCAAATGATTTGTAATATCAACTAAAAAAGCCAAATCACACAACCAATCAGGATTTTTAAGTTCCGGGACATCCCTTTGCTTTTCCGCCAGAAATATTCCAATTTCTTCTATTAAATTTAGAAATCGTTCCAGTGTCAATCCACGACTTAGCCACCTTACTTCTGTATAATACAGTAAATCTCCATATTCGCTTTCGATGTCATCAAGAAATTGTTTGAATTGCCTGTGATTGAGTCCTCGTGATTTCATGAAATTCACAGTCGAAACTACCACTTTCATGACATTTTGAAATTCAATTTTTTTAGAACAGAGGGCTTCTTGGTGTATAATGCAGTGAAACTGCATGAGATCTTCAGCTTTTATGTTTTTTTCTTGCAGATGCTTTATCATCAAAGTAACTAGCCCAGAATTGACACCAATCATCGAAGGAGCACCGTCAGTCGCAACTCCCGATAATTTTGATAAGTTTTTGAACACTCATCCAAAAGTACATTGAGTATATCAACTCCTCTGGTTTGACCTTTCAATGAACATATTCCTAATTACTCTTCTAAGACTTCAAAATCTTGAGTAACACCTCGTATCAATATCAGAAGTTGAGCTGTGGAACTAATATCAGTGGATTCGTCGAGTGCTAATGAAAAAATTCAATGATCTTAGTTTTTTCATTTAATTGTTCCGCAATATTATCTGACAAAGACATAATTCGTCTTTGGATAATCATACGAATCAGTTGAATTTTCTTAAACTTTTTGCTGCATCTGGACACATTTTCTTAGCGGCAATTTCTATGCATTCTTTTACAAAATCCCCATCATTGAAGGGGCGACTTCGCTTTGCTATCATTCGAGAAATTTCATAACTAACTTCTGTAGCTGTTTCTGAATCTTGAATGGATTTTGTAAACATAGCTTGCTGACCAATAAGCTCCCGTTTTAAAGACAACATTTTTTGCTTTCTTAATTCGCCTGTAAACTTGGTAAAAGTAGGATGCTGCGTTTCATAGTGCCTTTTTACATTATATTCCTTTGCAATCGCAACAGAATTCTTGCAAATTAAACAAACGACTTTGTTATGCGACCATACAAAAAAGTATTTCTCAGTCCAAATTTCTTGAAACTGCCGATTTTCATCTTTAACCTTGCCTTTTTTACTAGGTCCTGGCTTGTCCATGTTGCGTTCTAATCCTGGCTAGGATTAACACAGCACCTAAAAACAATGACAGTACCTACTTAAATTACCAAAAATAATTGATTAAATAGGTAGGGAAACACTTATTAATAACAGAGTTTTACTTACGATTTCACAACACAATTATACACGACACTTGACGGGAAATCTACGTTGAATGTGGATAAAAATATATGACACCGACTAGTCGAGTTAAAATATACACTAGAACTTTTGACTCTTCACTCAAATTAAAACCGAACTGTCGGTCGCTGCGGTTAGCGTGGCTTTTATACCGCGCGTATAGAGTCGAAAACTGTCTGGAGAAATTACGAAACCGACTCTGGAAGCTTCGTGTATCTACCTACGCGAGCAATCGGGAATTCGGGACTAGTGCTATCTCGCTTGCTCTAACAATATAACCCGTGGATAAGCCGCCACCGTGCTGCCGTCGTCGCCGCGCCGCCGGCCGCGGCGGTTCCTCGAGAAAACGAATTTAACCGAGATCAGCACGAACATTACCGACCGCTGTTACCAACGCATGCACGGCGCGCCGATAAGCGCACTTAAGAGCGCGCGCGCGAGATTCAAATTACTTTTCGAACATATTTTTTTTGGTTTTGTTCTGGAATATAATTCAATATTTTTCGAATGTATGAGAGTATTATTTTTGCTGTCAGCGGGCCACCAGCATTCGACCGGCGGGCCGCATGCGGCCCGCGGGCCGCTGTCTGTGCATCTACGATCTATACTAATAAATAAAATTGAAGTGTCTGTTTGTAATGTCAAAATTACAGATTTTTACTAAATGCATATGAAAGTATATGCGGTGCTAATAACAAAAATACAATTTTTAAAGTTTTTGTCTGTCTGTCTGTCTATCTGTCAGTCTGTCTGTCTGTTTGTTCCGGTTAATCTCCGAAACGACTGGACCGATTTTGACGGGATTTTCACAGGCAGATAGTTGATGTCACAAGGAGTAACTTAGGCTACTTTTATTGTAGAAAAAGAATTAAGGTTCCGCGCAAAAAAATTAAAACCCCAAATAACACGCGGGCGAAGTCGCGGGGAAGAGCTAGCTGAATATAAAATAAAACTGGTCATGTGGCCACACACAATGTAGGGTTCCGTAGTTGTATTGGCGCAATATGTGAACTTAGAAGGGTCTTCTAAATACTTTGAGCATATTGAGTTCGCGGGCGGATAGGACGATGGTAACAAAAAAAGCAGTTTTATAGGGAGTTGTATTTAAAAAAGTTTTAAAAACTTTTCGATTTTCATCAAAATATTCACTCATTCAAAAATGTTCATAGTTATCTATCCATTTATTAGTTTCTTCTAAATACTATGAGCATATTGAGTTTACAGACGTATAGGACGGTAAGGATGATGGTAACTGAAGGACTTATTTTGCAAGCAGATTTATGGGGCGTTGTATCAAAAAAAAAATAGTGTTAAAAACTTTTCGATTTAGAAAATAATACAATCTACATCAAATCATTCACATGCCAAGTCTGTACAAAATGTTCATAGTTCACTATCCATTTACTAGTTTCCGGCAGTGCAACCCTAAGATATACATAACCGTAACTAACTTTCCCGTAAACCACTACTGCCCTAAATTATTGTGAGCGTCCCCCGCGGAAACCAAGTGTACCACGAATGAAACTATAGAGCCACAATAACTACTAACTAAAAATAAGCGAAAGTGGTATGTCGGGATCGATTTCTTGGAGATCGATTCTCTTTGGTTACTCCGCAAAGGAAAACTTAAAGTTATAGTAGTATAAGTCGTTTTTAAAAAAAATGTAATTTTTTACAGTTAACCTTAACAATATAAAGCTGCATTATGCAGCTAAGGTCATTTAAGGTCATTTTCTATGGAATTGTGATGGAATTATTCCTAATCAAAGTGCATTTTATAAGTAAGACACAAATATCAATGCGAATAAACTAATCACTCTCGATATTACTCAGCGATTCTGTTTTATTTTCAAACGACTTCAAAAAAGGAAGAGGATCTCAATTCGTAAGAATCTTTTTTTATGTATGTTCACCGATTACTCAGAGGCGCCTGAACCGATATGGAAAGTTCTTTTTTTGTTTAGAAAGGGTATACTTCCCAAGTGGTCCCATTTAAATTTTATCGAAATCGGTCGAGGGTTTTAAAAAAAATCAACATTTTTAAATTCATATTGAAGTCGTTTGTACAACATTTTAAATTTACCACTTGTGTTGATTCTGTTCTGTTTCGATATTATTCAACGACTTACTTCATGGCTATTATGTCGTAGACATTACGGCAGATCTTTGTAAGCACTAAGTATGCTCGTTTTGAATTGTTTGCTTTTGGTTCATCATTAAGTGCTTTCTTAGTCTTTGTTGTGTGGTGGCGGTTTAAATAATCCATCATTTAATTTCGCTTTGTACGTCTCGTAAGAAACGACTATGGACAGAAAGATATTACGGCTTCCGATGGGTGGCGATATAACCATCTCGTTTACGCCAGGCGTAAAATAATCAGGTTTCCGATAGGTTACGTTATTTTTGCATTTACCGTATGAATCTATATATAAGTATATTATTATTAGCGGCTGTCAGCAAGTTATATAAAAGGGGGACTGATAACGGTGATGATAATGGTATTCCGGATTATGTGCGAACGCTAGATTTATGTAGGGATGTTCAACTACACGTATTTCAGGGTATTGATGAGTTATACTGCCGTCCGAGTAGGTGTAAGCAGGCCAATCGAATAATTTTTTTTTATAGAAGAGGGGGCAAACGAGCATGCGGCTCACCTGATCATAAGTGACTACCGCAGCCCATGAACAACTGCAATATCAGGGGAATTGCAGATGCCTTAACTTAGCTTCAAGCCTTGTAATAATTTATTCGGTGAAAATGTTCTTCTTTAGCAGCTAATATCAGGCCACAGATGGACATAGGTCTATCCCATTGCACCAAGATATTGTCATAACTGTCATGCTAAGTAGGATAGAAAGAATATTGGCGATCTTCCTTGTCTAGTAACTTTGATGTTGCTCCCTGACGATGGTTAAGGCAATTTATATCTAAATTTATATCTAAAAAAAATTTAGGTATGAAACAGCTTACCGCTCTAAATTCTCCGTGGCCTTATGAGATATGGCTCAAATTGTGCTCCATTCATTTCGAGGCTCGGTGTTGCGACTCCTCAGGGCATCATCGTGTGGTCTTCGACACAGTCCGTACGTAGTTTATCGAAAACATTGACGATCCTTTGGCGCATTTCGTCAGCACTATCACACTCACGATTAAAAACCCTTTCTTTCACATACCCCCACAGAAAGAAGTCTAACGGGGTCAGATCTGGTGAGCGAGGTGGCCAAGCGTGTGGTCCTAGTCTGCCAATCCAGCGATCATCAAATAATTCGGTGAGGCGCTCACGGACGAAACTCACGCCATGTGGAGGTGCACCATCATGCTAGAACCAAGAGCGATAGGTCGCCTAAAATGTCAACCAACTGTTCATTTATAAAGTTTAGGTATCGCTGTCCGTTAAGTTGCTGTGGCAGAAACGCTGGTCCCAGTATGCGATCCTTAAAGAAACCTGCCCATACGTTAACCGACCATCGGATTTGGTGCCCGGTTTGTCGAACAACGTGCGGGTTAACCTCTGAATACACGTGTGTATTTCTTCAGTTCCACAGGCCGTTTCTGGTAAATGTCGACTCATCCGTCCAGATAATATGCTCAATGGAACCAGGCACACGTTGTTGCTGGTATAATAACCAACGGCAGAAAACTCGTCGGCGGTCGTAATCGCCGGGAACTAAAACTTGCACTTTGTGCAATTTGTATGGGTGCATTCGGTTACGCTTCAATACTTTGTGCACTGCACAGTATGACACACTTGTTCCATCCCGACGTCTTAACAATTTAGCGATTCTACGTGTACCTAGGTGCGGATACCGGCGAACGACATCTAAAATGCGCTCCTCGGAGTGAATAGCCACTTTACTTCCACCTCCTGCCGCTACCGGAGCAATGAGCCGATTTTCCAACACTCGCTGAAATGCTGCTGTTATCAGACGAGAGTCGGCTGGGTGTCGAGCGGTCGGGAATTTCTCTCGGTAAATTCGTAATGCAAGCGAAGCATTACCACAAGCTACTCCAAGGCACATTAACATGTTGCCGTATTCACGAGCACTATAAACGTACGCGTTAGGCATTATTAAAACAAATCGCGTGTACAAAATCAACACGAAACT